GATGACCCTTCAAGTAGCGAAGGACTCGTTTTGCAGCTTCCATATGATCAAGGCGAGGCGCATGCATAAATTGAGACAGAACATGAACGGAATAGGTGAGATCCGGACGCGTGATCGTGAGATAAATTAAGCGACCCACAAGTCGCCGATACTGCGCCGGGTCATGAAGCTCGGCACTAGTCGACCTACCCAGCCCGTGATTCGGCGTAATGGGTGTGTCGGCTGGTTTGCAGCCCAAGAGACCAGCTTCATGAAGAATGTCTAGTGCATATTTCCGTTGACATAGAACAATACCCTCCGCAGATCGAGCACACTCAATGCCCAAAAAATAAGATAAGGGTCCCAAGTCCTTCAGGTGAAAGCAGCGATCAAGATAAACCTTAAAAGAAGCACATAATGTGGGGTTGTTACCTGCAACCAAGATGTCATCAACATAAACCAAGACAACCAAAATGTCAGATCCTCGACGATGAATAAAGAGAGTGTGATCTGCATGTGCCTGACGAAACCCGTATCGCCGAAGGGCACAAGTGAGCTTCCCGAACCAGTTTTGGGGGGACTGACGCAAACCATAAAGAGATTTGCGTAGTCGACAAACCTTGCCTGGATATAGCTGAGAAAGTCCAGGTGGCAGCCGCATGTATACTTCCTCAATCAGATCACCATGAAGAAAAGCATTATTAACATCGAAAAAAAAAGAATAACCGACGCCATTGAGCCAGAACAAATTAAAAAAAAGGCAATAAATGGCTAGGTAAAAATGAGAAAAAATTATAAAAATATTGTTTGAGCACTCGAGTTGAAACCCTTGGAATACTTCGTTTATTTAGGTCCCGGGCTATCTGGAATGGGCCTGGGGTAGCCTAGTTGAGACTCGCTACACGGGTCAACTCAAACAATTAAAATTAAAATATTAAATCAAAGCAATAAATAAAAGTTTCCAAATTTTGGAAAAAGAAAAATATATTTTCTTGAGCTTTTCTTTACTTGATTGTTTCTTAGGATTTCTAACTTTTTTTTGCTGCTCTATAGATTTCTTTTAAATTGTGCACAATGACCTTAGTTAATTCAAAGTTTTGACATTAAATAAAAATAATTTCTACTTAGCTTTGAAGTGATAGAATTGTTTTAAAATTTAAAGTAGTAAATTTTTTTTTAAAGGGTTTATTCTATTTGGTACATGATTAATTTCTGGTTAATGTTTCATGCAACACTTTAGATGGTTATGAGATTGAGAAATTGTTTTGAATTCTAATTTCAACAAATCGAAAAAGGTTTTTAATATCTACTTTGCACGAGGGCGTGCAAAAGTCTAAGTGTGGGGGTATTTGTTAAGTAACAAAATGTCATATTTTATTCCCTCATTTCTTAGTACTTTTAAGATATTTTATATGCATTTTATACTTAAATGAACATATTTTGTTAAATTTAGCATTTTAGGCTATTGTTTACATTTTATACATAAAATGCATGATTTTGAGCACATTTATAATTCTTAATTAATTTAGAGTGTTATTTTCCTTAATTAATATGTTTTAGATATATTTTGGAGTAAAAAAGCATTGGAAGAAAGTGAAGAATAGACCCAGCCCAGACAGCTATTTGGCCCATCATAAACCAATGTGGAGGAAATCAGAAGGACAATAAAAAAATAAAGTAAATAGTCCTCCAATCCGTAGAAAGCATAGCAGGAAAGACCAGCCGTGTTCCTCCTAGGCGCAAGAAACGGGAAGTGCGAAGAGTTGGATTCCCAGAGTTTTCTTCTCCAATTCAATGACTTTCAATTTCAATTATAAAAAGAAGAGATAGAGATGAGACAAAAGGGGGGAGGCGGAAACGGAACAGAGAGAGCTGACCTAGGGTTTCACCCCTAGGTCCGGCGCGGCGTCCTCCGACGAAGGGAACAGCAATTCCACGCCATGAATGCTGGTGATGAAGACTAGTGACGAAGATGGAGCGCAGCGGTGGGTGGCGACTCATCTGGTGGTCTGTGCACTGAACAAAGAAGCGACAGTCACAGGGGAGCATGTCCATTCCTTTTGTTTCTTCAAATTGATTTTACTTCTTTAACATTAGGATTTTAGATTTGTTAATTTTTTTTTAAATTGATAAATTTGACTTCCAATATTTAGAGATGTTTATTTTCAATTTCATGTTAATTTGTTGAATGTTTAAGTTATATTATAAGTGTTGAATTGTTTGTGTTGATGTTGAATTGTTCATGTTATGATTTATTGATTGATTATTGTCTCTGAAATTATAAAACCTTCTTAGGCCAAATTGTTTTACAAAAAGATTGAATCTTTGTTTGTTGAATTAATTTGACTTTGAAGAGATTTTAGCTCTACGCTACTATTAAATCTAAACTCAAAAGGTGTTATGAGAACTATTATTCACCAGATTTTACTTAAATTGGACCAAATTAGGATCGCGACCTAATCCAGTTTAAAATGATATTCTTTTAAAGTCCAAAGTGCTTTTAATAGCCGAACTTTTCTAGAAACCAAGTGTCACTTGATTAGTACTTGCTGCCTCGTTAAGTAGTTTTTGCTAATCAAGGTTCTCGAACTGGTTTTGTTAAATAACCGTAGTGTTACTGCAAGATTGTTATGGTGATGTTTTCCAAAGATTTTAATGCGCTATTCTTAGTAGTAACTTAAGGGTTGGTCTTTGGGTTGCTAAGGATAGTAGGGTTTAGAGTTAGGGTTGGTCTTAACATGAGCTAATATGAATGGGAAAATAGGGAAGGGCCGTTGGTGGACCTCTTCTTCAGCCTAACTCTGAGTTTAATTAGCAGTTTAATTTCAGAATCAAGACATAATTAATTGGTTTATCCGATTTGTTCAATTTATTTTCTACTAAAAACTATAAGTATTTTCAAAATGGTTTAAGTTAATTATTATTGTCTATGTTTTATAAAGTTTAAATGTGTGTTTGTTTGTGTGTTTGTTTCTCCCTGAGTGTCTTCTGAGTTCGAGTTGCTGCTGTGGTTCCATCTCTAGACTGTTATCCTTATCTTTATTTTATTTGCATTTTTGTTTTTTTAGAATTATCATTCAAACCCCCCATATCCTTTAGTTTTAGTTTTTTTAGATTTTAGTTAGTTTTTATTCAATAAAAGTGACAAGTGAACTGATTGTCATAGCCTAAAAAGTATCTTTCCTCGTGGGATCGACCCTTACTTGCCCTATCTATATGTTTTAATCAATATTAATTCATAAAGAGGGATTCGAGTTAAGGAAAATAATAAATTAATTTGTAGGTGCTACGACACGCCTAACAATAAACCAAGACAACCAAAATGTCAGATCCTCGACGATGAATAAAGAGAGTGTGATCTGCATGTGCCTGACGAAACCCGTATCGCCGAAGGGCACAAGTGAGCTTCCCGAACCAGTTTCGGGGGGACTGACGCAAACCATAAAGAGATTTGCGTAGTCGACAAACCTTGCCTGGATATAGCTGAGAAAGTCCAGGTGGCAGCCGCATGTATACTTCCTCAATCAGATCACCATGAAGAAAAGCATTATTAACATCGAGTTGGTGCACCTCCCATCCCTTTGCCGCGGCTACAGAGAGTAAAACACGAACAGACCCCATTTTTGCTACCGGGGCAAAAGTATCAGTGTAATCCACCCCCAAAGTCTGATGATTTCCAAGAACAACCAAACGGGCCTTGTCCCGTTCTTTAGTGCCATCCGAATTAAACTTGGTCTTGAAGACCCATTGGCAGCCCAAAGCTGTCCGATC